TCCCTGCCTCGTTCAAAGAAGCTGCATCTTCGATGACTGCTGACAGCTCGCTGACGAGCTGCATGTCCTCTTGGCTTGACGGAGATGCTGCCTCCATTGTGATCCTCTCCAGGTCTGTAAACTCCAGCCACTCTCCCTCGCTCTCCTCCTGTCGCTGCGCTGCGTCGCTGGTGCCCCGCTGACCAGCCGCCTCAGAGTCAGGCTCCTTGTCGAAGCCGACTGCTTCGAGCTTGGTTGCTGCGCCTTCGAGATAGAAGGGCAGCTCCTTCATCATGCGTCGAGCATCCTCCGTGGAGCCGAGGAGGATGCATAGCTTGGACCCGTTCCAGGACTTGGTGTTCAAATCCTCCTCCATGTCGATGCCTTCAACGTTGATCTCGAGCCTGTTAGCGATCTCCAACAAGACTCTCTTGACTCTTGCGATAGACGTGTTGCCGCCGTTGCACAGCCCCTCCATCTCCTTCCTCGTGAAGCGACCAGATGCCGCCGTCGACTTGATGATGATCTTGATCTCCTTGCCGTCCTTGCCGCCTGCCTTCTTCTGCATCCTTGATGCCTTCTTCAACTTATTTCTGGACACAAAGCGATCAGCTGTCAACTCGACTGCGAGCGCCTCTCTGATCTTCGGGTCCTCGCTGAACAGAGTCAGGTGTACTCCCTCCATCGCTTCGCTCTCTCGGAAAGCTCGAAATGCTGTATCATTCGCCTCTGGGCAGCTCGAGGAGACGATCCACTCCACCTCCCTCTGTCTCCAGATGACGTTGGCCCCTACAGCGATGAAGCCTTTCTGACCTAAGCCTTTGTGGACTTGCTGTCCTGGCGCCCCAGCGACTAGCATGCCTGCCAGCGGCTGGAGTTGGACCGCTGCAAGGGACTGGCGCAGCAGCTGATAGCGATAGACGGCAGCTATCTCAGCCGTTGTCATGCCGCCCAAGGTTAGCAGGTGAGTCAGCTCTGCCAAGCTGCCCCCTTTGCCCCAGGGTCCTCTCTTGGCTCGAATCTTGAAAGATCGATCGTGCACGATGCTCACATGTACAGCTGTGAACTTGCGACCATCGATCGCGAAGTCCTCTCTTCCCTGCCAGAGCTTCTCCGCTTGTGCATTGCGGAGGAAGGAAACAGTCACCGGGATCTCCTCAGCACTCGCTATCTCGGGTCTATACGGAGCCTTCCACATGATTGCTTTACTCTCTTGCACTGAGTCTACGATCAGTCCGATCTCTTCAAATTTCTTCTTCAGCTTTTCTTCATGGTTGACATACACCGAGGAGATGCCCAGGAGAGTCATGGAGATGAAGGAAGTCACCTCGTTGCCTGCTGAGGCGGTGTATGTCTCGACCTTCTCCTTCTTGGCTTCTTCAATCTGCTGCATAAACCACTCTCTGGATGCGTCACTCCATCCAGTCATCGCTTCTTGCAGAAGCTCACGTCGTGCCTGCTGACATGTCGAGCGGATGGCTTCTGCGATAGCGTCGGGGGTGCATCCCTCCACAGCCTTGCAAGCCTGGGCTGTCCTGCTGTTCGGATAACGCTTCGCGAAGCTCTTCACCCTCTCGACGAGATCAGCTTCGAGGACAGAGGCATCCACAAGTCCGCTCTGCGTGTATTGGCATGATCTCCGATACAGCAGGTTGCGAACATTTTCATCATACTGAAGAACCATACTTAGAAAGCTATTTGAAGTATACAAACCTCTCGCTTGCAGCTTCCTTGGCGCCCTGGCAGCTTCCCCTACACCACGCGTGCAGCCATGGTGCCTGAAATAACCGGCGCTGGTGCCTGAAATAACCGGCGCTGGTGCCTGAAATAACCGGCGCTGGTGCCTGAAATAACCGGCGCTGGTGCCTGAAATAACCGGCGCTGGTGCCTGAAATAACCGGCGCTGCCTGAAATAACCGGCGCTGCCTGAAATAACCGGCGCTGCCTGAAATAACCGGCGCTGCCTGAAATAACCGGCGCTGCCTGAAATAACCGGCGCTGCCTGAAATAACCGGCGCTGCCTGAAATAACCGGCGCTGCCTGAACCCTAAACCCTAAACCCTAAACCCTAAACCCTAAACCCTAAACCCTAAACCCTAAACCCTAAACCCTAGGTCGCCACCTACTCGTCCTCCATTCAGCTTCCTCAGCCTCAGTCAGGAGAGTTGCCTCTCCTCACCTTGGCCTTCGGTCGCCTCCTACCTTCTCTCCTTACCTTGGGCTCAGCTCAAGCTCGGTACGGGCTCGCCCCGTCTTCTTCCTCGCCCTCGCCTTGCTCTTCCTCCATGTCTTCCTCTTCTTCGTCATCTTCCCTCATCTCCACTCGCAGTCGGTCCTTCTTGTCCACCTTCAGCGAGCAGGCCAGCACATGCATCTCTGCGAATTTACTCAGTGCTATGAACAGGAGGCTAAGAGATCGACGCTCTATGTCGTCGCTCTCCGCCTCCTGCTCAAGCTCAGCAGCTGCCGTTGCCCGTGGCGAGAACGCGCTGCCCCTCCTTGCCTTCTTGCTCTCTCCTTGCACGCGAGTCCAGCGCTTGCTCTGCAGCCACTTCCCCAGCTTCTCCTTGAGAACGTTGCGCCCAACTCCCTGCTCCTCTGGCATCTTCGCCCACTCTCCCAGCGCCATGAACTCCAGGCTCCCCGGAGAGTAGAACGTGTCGTGGAGGTTGCCAACGGCCTTGTCCAGGACCAGCTTGATCGGCTCGCTCGTCCCTGCCTCGTTCAAAGAAGCTGCATCTTCGATGACTGCTGACAGCTCGCTGACGAGCTGCATGTCCTCTTGGCTTGACGGAGATGCTGCCTCCATTGTGATCCTCTCCAGGTCTGTAAACTCCAGCCACTCTCCCTCGCTCTCCTCCTGTCGCTGCGCTGCGTCGCTGGTGCCCCGCTGACCAGCCGCCTCAGAGTCAGGCTCCTTGTCGAAGCCGACTGCTTCGAGCTTGGTTGCTGCGCCTTCGAGATAGAAGGGCAGCTCCTTCATCATGCGTCGAGCATCCTCCGTGGAGCCGAGGAGGATGCATAGCTTGGACCCGTTCCAGGACTTGGTGTTCAAATCCTCCTCCATGTCGATGCCTTCAACGTTGATCTCGAGCCTGTTAGCGATCTCCAACAAGACTCTCTTGACTCTTGCGATAGACGTGTTGCCGCCGTTGCACAGCCCCTCCATCTCCTTCCTCGTGAAGCGACCAGATGCCGCCGTCGACTTGATGATGATCTTGATCTCCTTGCCGTCCTTGCCGCCTGCCTTCTTCTGCATCCTTGATGCCTTCTTCAACTTATTTCTGGACACAAAGCGATCAGCTGTCAACTCGACTGCGAGCGCCTCTCTGATCTTCGGGTCTTCGCTGAACAGAGTCAGGTGTACTCCCTCCATCGCTTCGCTCTCTCGGAAAGCTCGAAATGCTGTATCATTCGCCTCTGGGCAGCTCGAGGAGACGATCCACTCCACCTCCCTCTGTCTCCAGATGACGTTGGCCCCTACAGCGACGAAGCCTTTCTGACCTAAGCCTTTGTGGACTTGCTGTCCTGGCGCCCCAGCGACCAGCATGCCTGCCAGCGGCTGGAGTTGGACCGCTGCAAGGGACTGGCGCAGCAGCTGATAGCGATAGACGGCAGCTATCTCAGCCGTTGTCATGCCGCCCAAGGTTAGCAGGTGAGTCAGCTCTGCCAAGCTGCCCCCTTTGCCCCAGGGTCCTCTCTTGGCTCGAATCTTGAAAGATCGATCGTGCACGATGCTCACATGTACAGCTGTGAACTTGCGACCATCGATCGCGAAGTCCTCTCTTCCCTGCCAGAGCTTCTCCGCTTGTGCATTGCGAAGGAAGGAAACAGTCACCGGGATCTCCTCAGCACTCGCTATCTCGGGTCTATACGGAGCCTTCCACATGATTGCTTTACTCTCTTGCACTGAGTCTACGATCAGTCCGATCTCTTCAAATTTCTTCTTCAGCTTTTCTTCATGGTTGACATACACCGAGGAGATGCCCAGGAGAGTCATGGAGATGAAGGAAGTCACCTCGTTGCCTGCTGAGGCGGTGTATGTCTCGACCTTCTCCTTCTTGGCTTCTTCAATCTGCTGCATAAACCACTCTCTGGATGCGTCACTCCATCCAGTCATCGCTTCTTGCAGAAACTCACGTCGTGCCTGCTGACATGTCGAGCGGATGGCTTCTGCGATAGCGTCGGGGGTGCATCCCTCCACAGCCTTGCAAGCCTGGGCTGTCCTGCTGTTCGGATAACGCTTCGCGAAGCTCTTCACCCTCTCGACGAGATCAGCTTCGAGGACAGAGGCATCCACAAGTCCGCTCTGCGTGTATTGGCATGATCTCCGATACAGCAGGTTGCGAACATTTTCATCATACTGAAGAACCATACTTAGAAAGCTATTTGAAGTATACAAACCTCTCGCTTGCAGCTTCCTTGGCGCCCTGGCGGCTTCCCCTACACCACGCGTGCAGCCATGGTGCCTGAAATAACCGCCATGGTGCCTGAAATAACCCCTAAACCCTAAACCCTAAACCCTAAACCCGTTTAACTATGAGAGTTGATTGCGATATCAGCAGTTGTTTGATCGGGTTGGACAAGGCAAGTTCGCGTCCAAACTGCAGCAGTTGGCGACTCAAAAAAATTGGTGAAATGGAGTCAGTGGTTGTGATACCATGAACGATTTCCTCGAGATGTTATGCCAGGCAATCATGCAAGTACCAAACGTTTCTTGCAAACTGGATATCTTGAAGAATCATGTCACATTTCAAAGCTTTGGAACAACTCCAACAAGAGTCCTGCCATATACTCTCAAAAAGGTGGACGTGAGGATATTAGAAAGATTCATGACAGCACTTTGCAAAGCTCGGGCCCGAGATGCTCTCATTGCTTTTCAGCTGAGAAACCCAAGGCTCGAATGACGACGATCGGCTGATTTTCATCTTGGTGACTTGTTCATGCTTTCTACGAAGCATTGAGGATGAGGTACCAGAGCCTGTGGTGCAGGCTCGCTCTTTGCCAATGCATACCCGTTTACACCAAGCCAGGTTTACTACAGTGACAAAGTAGGTACTTGGGTTGTTAAGTTACATCTTGCCAGGATGACGCTTTGCATACAGCACCTTCTTGCCTGATTCTACTTTCTTTCTATCGAACATGTCCAAGGTCTTGCCAAACTTGTCACACACCGCCTGCCAAAACCTCGTCTCCACCTCGCTTGCGTCATCGCTCAAGTACACAAACGATCCCTGTGGTCCATGAACCACCTCGGAAAGGTTTCCGTAAAAATGGTAGTCGTCCGTCAGGTTAGGGATCTCAAGGTCTTTTGGTAGCCCGATCCGTTCCCACATCATCTCTCGGATTTCTGGTCGCTGCAGCATCTTACTGATGCTGCTCATAGACAACGACTTGCCGCTCATAAGTTTGTCATGGTCGGCGTTAGAAAGACCCTCTTTCAGCAAGGTCATCATCTTTGGGTCTTTCCCATCCACGCGACACATCACTCTCTGGAACAGCAACTCAAGCAAATACCTGTGGGCACATGTTTGGTTGATCATTCTTCAGCGCAACAAGAAAACACACCACACACCTCTGAGATAAGAACGATAGATGGAATTTGAAGTAGTCCTCTATATTCTCCTTCTCGTTTTCCTTCCGGAGCTCGAGCTCCCGCTTCTCGTTATCCTTCTTGAGCTCGAGCTCCCGCTTTTCGTTATCCTTCTGAAGCTCGAGCACAAACAGATGGTTCGCTAGAAAATACGCCCTCTCGTCTAGACTATTATCCCCCAGCAACTTCTTCGCCGTAGCGAGAAAGCTTGAGAAGCGATCGGAAACATCAAAGGGAGGGGAGGTGGTTGAGGTAGCAGAGCCTGATGCGCAGGCCCGCTCTTGGCAGGAGCGTACATGTGAGAAGTCTTGTACCTTATGACGATACTGGGTCAGCGTGAGCACTCGTACCAGCGACCTGCCTCGCAACAGCATGCCTCGCAATAGCATGGCGGCAGATTTTTTCAGATTTAGAATTTACTCAATGGAAGGGTAGGCAGGAGCACGCAAAAAAAAGTAGGCATAGCAAGAAAGCATCCGCCTCAGCCAAAAGACTAGAAAGACCAAAAAGGCAGTTTTGCGCGGCGTAGCTACCCTACCTACGCTAACCAACTCAGTTCGCAAGACCAGGGAGGGAACGCCAGCTTTGCGCGGCTGCCCTATTCGCTAATAAAACCAACTTCGCAAGACCAGGGAGGGAACGCCGAGGGATGGCGCGGAGCAGCAGCAGCGCGCTGCCGTCCTCACGAGAAGGAGACGTACTAAGCGCAGAGCACCCACGAGGAGAGCTGCTGAGCCCATTTGTGCTCGATACTGGCAGAACAGGCGAGCACGGAGGCGAGGAGGGGTCCCCCCGGCGGTAGACGGCTTCCTCAGAGCAGCCATATAAGGTAGCAGTGGTCTTGGAGCCCTGCAAGTCCGCAAGGAACCAAATCATTTGTAATTCTCTTGCTTTGCCCCGGTTCCAAATTGAACCAACTCACCATGCTCAGCAAGTTTCTGGGGACGACTTCATCAACGGCTCATGTTTTCTTTCCTCTCTCCGATGTTTTCCTGAAACAAAATGGAAATGGTGACTTCAGTTGCCTTCTTAGGATTGCCAGTTGATAATGTCATTGTTGCACAGTCATAGCCTCCATTGATCGTGACAACAAGGCGTTGTGTTTCCCGTGAAGGTTGAAGATATCAATCCACTCTTCGACAAGTTGAAGCCTTGAAGGCCGAGACCATGAGTCCCACCATCCACTCTTACCTGTGATATTTTTGGCAAAGGAACAAAGCAGCCAGCCATGCTATCGTTTGCACGACAGAATCCTTGGTACTGCGATTTCGTTATACCTTTGCTGTGAGGGCAACTGCTGCTTCCCGTGGGGTAGCCATCATTTGTCTGACCACAGGTTTCAGGAAGTTATGAAGCTCCTTATTCGTGGCAAGTTCATTTTTTAAAGAAGAACGTAAGGCTATCGTATTTCGAAGTTTTGCACTTCGGAAGTTCTGCTTTCGCGGCCCCTCGGCCGCTTCCTCTCCCCCAGCAGAGTCATCCTCACTCTGGCGGTGTAATAGATCAGCAAAATGTCCCCATTTCACTCGAAAATTGGCCTTGTGTGATGCAAATTGCCGATCTACCTTCTTCGTGACCACATCTCCTCATCAGTGTCACCCTGGATCTTCTTCAGAATCGCTATTTTCACTTTTGGATCTTTGTTAGAATCGTACGGTAACAAGCCGGGTTTGGTTCATCGGAGTCAGGGGAAATAATCGCTTCGCGTATGGCTTCATCCACATGATGACTAAAACCTCTCTGCTCCTCAGACTCTAGTAAGATTCGAAGCAACAACTCAGGAGATCTACCTGCATCCCAGGTGTTACAAAGATTTGAATTGGACAAATGATCTCTTTTCAAACCTATGGCCTTCAGGCAAGCATTGACATTAGGTTGTCCCTGCCATTTTCCTTGTTTATAGAGGAAGCCCTCTCGTCTTGACAGAAACTCCCAGGTGAGCAAAATTCATCATCCAGGGTGGTTGGTTTGCGACGTCTGCACGAACTTCCATGCAAAGGTGGGGATGACGGATTTGATATATTTGGTCCTGACATGGTTAATCAATGTTTCAATGTTGAAATTATTTGGTAAATTTCCAGATCTTAGAGACATGTCTCTCAATCAGTGCCGTGGCAACTGGCCTCTGGGAAAAATTCAAATCTCTGAAATAGGGATGGGTGGGGTGGGATCAGGGGAACAGGGGGGACTACCCTACCCCTTATTTGTCAAAGCACTAGCAGAAAAGGACCCGGTGGCTTCATTCTTGTACCAAACCAAGAAACACGGTACACAATGAATTTGAATCATTTACAAAATACTTTCCAACATTTATATTGAATTTCTAAGTCTTTTCTACTGTGTTTCCAATTTATATCTGTTTTATGATTATTCGTATCTTTCTAAAACGTTTTCGCAGCCTTTTAAAACATGTCGTCTTTTAAAAGTTTCGAGGGGAGTGGGGTGGCCTTGAAGGTTGCCGCCCATGCCAATTCAAATACCCCACCCCCTATTCACTTAATGATAATCGGGGTAAAAGGGTGCTTCTGTGCGAGGACAAGTACCCGTATATACGCACTCAAAAGTACCGGTAATCAAAAGCGCTAATCGACGATCCTGGATTTTCATATACCGCTGCGGCGCCCCCAATCCCAGGGTTTATATAGGCGGCCATAGGGATACCGATACTAGACCCTCGTCCTCCTTTTTGTTTGACGAGGGTTTGTTTGCTCGTCAATAACCTGATTCAGATGTTCGGGTTGATCATGCTAGTGGCAAGTCTTCTTGGTCTTGGTGAAGTTCAAGGGAGTCAAATTGATCAGCAGTGTGTAAAGGGACATGTCATGAAGGTGACAACCTACAACATCTTTGAGGGAGGAGGTGATAAGGAAAGACTCGAGCGCCTTGCTTCATGGATGGTGCAAAATTGTTTCAGCACAGACAACAACAGCATTGATCTTGGCGTGGTAGCGATGAATGAGTGCAATGGATGGGATACAGAATGGCGACTCAATCACTTCCTTGGACACTGTCGAAACATTCACCATGTTTTGATGCCATGTAGAACAGGTTATCATATTGGATTTTTATCACAGAAGCCTATCCGGGTCGTATCCATGATTACCGAAGAACCATTTCATCATGGCTTGCTTCATGTCGAAGTTGAAGGCATTCATTTTCTGGTTTGTCACCTGTCGCCAAGAGATAGCTTGACGCGCTTGAAAGAATGTGAAGAGATCATCCGCATCGCTCGGGGGCTCTCTGAGGACGGAGTCCCTCTAGTTCTGCTAGGAGATCTAAACTCTCTTTCTCCTCGAGACGCCCAGCATCATGGAGAGCTTGTCCAACGATTTAGAGGCGACCAGCGTCTCGCAAGGAAGTTCCTCCGTGTTGCCAATGGCACAGAGTTTCTCGACTATCGACCTATCGAACTGCTGGAGTCCAGCTTCACCGACATGTACCTGGGAGTGGGAGCAGGGGAGGAGAGCGATTGCTCTGAGCAGGCGACTGTTCCAACAAGAATTTACACGGATGACATGCACGCTGCCAAGATGAGACTTGACTACATCCTTGTCAACTCGATCCTTTCGAGCAAAACTCTGCATGCCAGTAAAGCAGCTCCCGTGCGAGACAGTGAAACTGACTTGCTAAGCGACCATTACCCAGTCTCGTGTACTCTAACATTTCATCGACCCCTTGAAACAACGATGAGCAATGCATGCTCTGTAAAAGTATAAAGGTATGTTGCAACACCGATATCAGAATGTAAAATCGTACCCTTTTCCCATGAAAATACATGGCAATTTTTCCTTCAGGATATGATCATAACAACACTTTGAGTCGGCAGAAATTTCTGCTGTTTGATTTTCATCAAATAAATTACATCAAAGCTGCAGCAGCTCAAGCTCAACTTAAGATATGGATCGTCTCGACGTCTTTAACCTTCTCTACCTCATCCTTGAGCACAGCATCCCACCAGACAGGTAGCCACCTTTGTGCGATGGCTTTGAACCAGGGTGACAGCATGATTTCTCCTTTATCTTCAGCGTCTAGAAGCGCGTTCAGCTCTGCCTTGTTGAGATACTTGATCTCGGACACTTCGTTTGGATTCAAGACGCATTCAACATCAGCCTTTGCAACCAAGATGTAGTCCACCTCATGCTCTCCCCATTTGTCATCTTCCCCTACTGCTGCCTTGTAAACGATTCTAGTCAGGTAGGACAGGTCCTCCTTTTTCACTTGCCCCTGTCTGATCCCAAGCTCGTGCTCAAGCTTCCGTACAGCTGCTTGCTTTACGCCCTTGGCATCAGCAGTAGCAGGATCATCCATCTCCTCACTGTTGTACAAGGGATGGCTGCAACACGTGTTGGTCCAGCGATTCGGAAAGAGAATCTTATCACTGGATCGTTTCTGAAGTAGTAGCTCGCCTCTGCCATTGAATAGAAAGATACTGAATGCACGGTGAAGAGCTTTGCCTGCAGAGATGTTTTCCATCAAATGACAGTACTTCTTTGAGCCATGCCCAAGAACCTCGTCCTTGTCATTCACAATGATGCACTCGTCAGAGTCTAGCAGTCTCAGCTGCTCTTGGTCGTACTGCATCTTTGTGGAGCTGCTCATCATCCTTACAACACAAGATGAGCGGATCGTAGGAAGAAGTTTTGGCGTCGGCTGAGGTAGGACTCTAGCATACATCTGCCAGCAGCTCAATACGTCAAGCCCACTGTCACAAATCTTCACCTTGGAGTTGATAAGGGGGCGCAACGATCCTGCATGTTCAAGTCTGCACCTGAGAGCTTGTTGGGTAGCCATAGATCCTAAGTTCGGCATCTGCCATGCTCCCACTCGCACCCCTGCCATGCTGGCGGCGATAAAAGTGAGCATGGCTCTACTGGCCATGTGGCCCCGTAACGAGGGCAGGGGAAGCTGGTACCCTATTTGCCCGCTATATTTGCTATAGAGATCCAGGGGTAGGAGGGTTTAGAAAGGGTTTAGTTAATTAAAATTAGTACAAGAAGGTTGGAGGTGGTTAGAATGGGGTGAGTGAAAGACGAGGAAATGGTCAATGCTGATCGCAGAGGATGTCGAGAGGAACAAAGAAGCAGCGCAGAGAGCAGGACAGCGAGGGGGAGAGTAGGAGTTAGAACAAGGAGGAGGAAGGAGAAGAGTGCCAGATAATTAAACTTTCACGAGCATCCCCAACAACAGCGATGGTTATCACACCACACTCCAAGAAGATGCAAGCTGATGGACCTGAAGGAAAGACGTGTATAGGCGTGAGAATGATGAAGATTGCAGTCAAGACAAGAAGTTGTGGTCGAGAGCAGCATCCGAGGAGAGGGAGTAATAGAAGAGATGAAATAATAGAAAGAGAACGTTTCGACGTGACAGCGAGCAAAAAGGTAGTAAGGGGCACATGGGCCTTGTGACGAAGGTCATCGAGTAGGCAAACGTGAAAGATGGTCGCTGTTTGTTTCTGATCTCATGCCCTGATTGAAAGCGTTGATTGCAGCATCGATCTGAGGATTTCCAACTCCTTGACTGTTCGGAAAGTTCTGCTCCTAGGCATTGGGATCTTCTCAGTGCAAGGATTTCATCCTCCGTCTCCTGCCACTCTCCGAACGTTTTCGTCACGGGTGTCTTGTCGCGCATCTTGCAGACGGCACTCAACATTCCAGCGCATTTCCATGGCTGACAAGATGCCGTCAGAGAAGCTGTACTCCAACCTTGTCTCGATCCCAAGCATTACAGGTGGTTATCTGATCTCAGATGGAAACGAATTTCCCACCATCATGATGAGGAGAAACCAAAAGGATATGAAGAATGACGAGCAGAGATCTCATCTCGCTACCTTTCTTCCCTCATATTCGCCTCCTTCCTCCCCTTCGTCCTCGTCTCCGGTTACCTACTCTTGTGATGCTTTCCCAACGGATCTGCGAGATGTTTTGAGCATGTCAGTCTCGCCCTCCGGCAAGCTAGTCGCGATGGTCAGGGTGCGAGACGTGAAGGGGGTCAAGGAGCAGAGCATCGAGATATGGGACCGACACGCCCTCTTGCTCTCCGTGTCCTCCTACGGTGAGCTGCATGGCCCTATCAACGTCGCCGACAGTTTCGCATGTCTGTCGTGGAATAAGGAGGAGACCATGCTTCTGTACGCGGCTGAGGAGAAAAAAGCCAAAAGCTCCTCCTTCTTTCCTGCGAAGCAAGGAGGCAACGGAGAGGACAATGGGAGAGGAAGAGAGTTTGTGTTCGAGGATGACTGGGGGGAGCTGTCAGTGGGTAAGAGCAAGGCCCGTCTCTTTGTCCTGCACATTGCTAGTGAAGAGGCATGCTTCCTCTCTGTTTTTCCTCAGATCTAAGACTTCGCTTCTCACAGGTCAAACCTGTCGACGGCATCCCGGCTGACTTCGCAGCTGGTCAAGCCGTTTGGACTCCTGACTCTACTGGCATTGTTTTCGTTGGGTTTCAGGTGCTCATTTCTCTTCCATCGCATTCTTGTTTCGCTATATCTCTCTGAAACACCTTGAATCCTTTCATCTCCATCTCGTACTCTGCGTTCTCCTGTACCCTCAGCTCATGTTCTCCCTTTAGACAACTCCAAGGCGGCTTGGGCTTCGTTTCTACAACACACGGAAGTCGAAGATCGGCCTGGCCATAGCTCCATTCTTCTCTTCCGAAGCTACGCGAGGAGCTCCGCAAGGGCAGCGAACTTCCAGCACGACGCCGGCGAGCTCGAGAAATCCAGTGAGATGGTTGACGGGCGACGAAGACTGGGCAGCTCGAAGGTGAGAAGTCGGAGGACAGGGAGAGGATTTGAGCGCGAAATCTTGGGGAGCAATGTGATTGAAAGAATTAGAAGGGCAGAGGTCAACTCAGATTGCAATGGATGATCTGAGAATGGAGGTTGGGGTGTCATAGGGTTTAGGGTTTAGGGCTGCAAACGGTTTTGAAACGGATGAGATGGAAGCAACTGACCATTGGAACAGCCCGAGGTTCAGTGACGATGGAAAGAAGATGATGTATATGAATGCAGCAAGAAGCTCAGCTCACTACTCGAGCTCGTCGGTGTTGGTTGCTCGATGGCCTCCAGAGGGAGCGGGACAACTTGAGCGAAGAATTGTCGTCGGCATTGTTGGCCTTCCCAACTCCGTTGATGAATTTCCCGGACTTTTCCTGCCTGTTGAACAACTTCCTTCTCGGTAGCAGCTCGTGAAGTTTCTGATCATGGCCTGACAAGCTTGCGGAGGGTGTGGGCAAGTGACTCGCGACATCTGATCCTTCAAAGCGGTAAAGCTCTTTTCAGGGATGTTTATTCCTGACATGCTCTCTCTTCACCTGCAGAATGGAAGTCGCGTAGAGTCCTGCTGTCAATCGACACTGAAGCGTCGGGAACAGAGGTCAAGATTTCCCCTTCGCCTCTGCTTGTGATGTTTTCGCAGGGTGTGAAGAAGATTAAGATCGGCAACGACTGCGATGAGATAGGCTCCTGGACGTTTCTTGACATGCGGAATGATTTCATTCTGGCCGCTCATGGGTCTATTTCAAGGTCAAGAACCGATTGGCTTTGGGATTCTCTACTGACGAGGCTTGTAGGCCTCACCAAGCGTTTTTGATCAAGTTCCAAGCTGACGATCGCTCTCAAGATTGCAAACATTGGCAGATCAGCAGCGGGGCTTCTCCTTACGCCTCTAACATCAGCACAATCAAGGTGTGCGATCAAGCATGTCCTCGTGGAATGACGTTGAGCGTGTCAGTGGGAGCTGATTGCGATGCAAGCCCCGCAGACAGACGGGATGGAGGGTAAGGGAGGAAGATGTGGGTCACGTGAGGAACGAAAGAGAAAAGACAGTAAACGGGAACGTGCATCACAAACATACCGAAGGAGGAGCGACACTAAATATTGACATGTCATCAGGTTTTTACGAGTCAATCTTCGTTGACATTGAGAATCTAAATAAGGTGACGATGTTGAAAATCCTCGCAAAGCTCTCTCATCTCCCAGCAGAGCAACTCCAACTATCCTCTCTCCGACAGCAAGACACCTCTCATTGTCTTTCCTCACGGTGGCCCACACGTAAACGCCGTGCAAGACTTCTATCCCTCGTAAGCCCAACGAAAGAGGAGGAGAGGGGAGGGAGGCAGGGAGCTGGGAGGAGAGAAAAGGAGTGAGCTAGGGCAAGAGGAACCGGAGCATTGATACTTGACTTAGGCTTTTGTTCTGGGCTTTGGAGGGATTTGCGGTCTTGAGTGTCAACTACAGAGGATCATCAGGGTGAGAACCAACCTTGAATGTGTTGCGCTTTTAACATCTATGCTTTTCTATCGATCTCCTGTAACCTTCAGTTACGGTCAAGATCACATTGAGTCATTGTGCGGGAAGATTGGCAGGTAAAGATGCTTCGTCAAAGAGAGAGGTCACTTCTGACCATCACAACAGACAGGACGTGGACGACATGCTTCATGCGACTGAGGAGGTAGCTGGAACCAGGTGGCAAGGCTGAGCCTCACCACGCATGCAGGTCCTGCGGCGATATCCACATCTTGATCGGGACCGAGTGAGGCGTTACTTCACTCTTTACTTCCTCACCTTCCTCTTCAGGTCGTGGTTTGCGGCGGATCGCACGGGGGATTCTTGTCGCTGCACCTGCTGGCACAGTGAGTATGATCGATACTGAGCGTCCTAGTGATAACATCAGATGTGATTAAGCTCAATCATATCCTCGTTCCTCTTTTTCGGCGTGTCTCACTCTTCGACAGGTTTCCTTCAATGTTCAAAGCTGCGGCTGTCAGAAATCCTGTAACGAATGTTGCCACCATGTTCGGAGCTACCGACATCCCAGACTGGTAAGAGGCAAAGCAACGAGTGAGAGGAGAGGAAAATACAGCAAGGAAGAGCACAAAAGGGAAGGGGTGGCAGGAAGTGAGAGAGTCGAATCACAGAAACGAGGAGGTGGAGGAGAAAACAAATTTCATTACCAATCCGAAAGAGAGATGGGTAGAGTGAATTTGAGGAAGGACAGGGAGAGGAGGCGACGAGTGTGGACGCGCGGGCATGGACCAGGGGCAAGGAGAATTCTTGTACTGACAGCAGGACAGGTGCTACACAGAGATCGGCATGGAGGCGTGCTTCGCCCAACCAAGTGCTGAGCAATACGTGAGTACTGTAGGAGTTAGCATGCATGCAGACAAGTTGGAGGAGGGACAATGAGGAGAACACGAGAGGAAAGCACGAGTGGTATGAGTGAAAGAGACTGAAAATTGAGTGTAATGCAGTCCAAGGCCTTCAGCATGTCGCCGATGGCGCATGTTTCCAACGTGTCTGGTCCCGTGCTGCTGCTCGTGGGAGGAGATGATCGAAGGGTAAGGATGATGCGCGTGTGCAGCATGTGCTGGCGGGGGTAAGCAATGCGCAGGTTCCGCCGTTTCAGAGCAAGGAGTATTATTTTGCGCTGAAGGAGCGAGGAGCAGACGTGGAAATGTAAGACAGACGATGAGGTGCCCGTGGTAGCGAGGATAGTACAATTTGAGGTCGGTGGCAGGAGACAAACATGTTAGTGGAGCAGTGGTAGGGGGAAGTTGAGGGGAGGAAGAGAAAGTGGAGACTTCAAGTCACACGGCAGCAGGTTGTGGTATGACAAACACACACATGGTCTTGCCGAGACTCCTAAGGGAGAGGTATATTATTTCTCTTGCTTTTTGTCACCTTCGCTGTCCTCGTCCGTTTTCTCTTCTTCATATCACCTGTTGTGACTCCTTCACTACCAATACTCTTCACTCTCTATGCCTGTTGGCTCCCATGACAACAAATGCAGGGCGATGGGATCGTCAACATCATCAAATTCTTCAAGCGCAAGCTCAACATGCCGCAGTAATTTTTCCGTGAGATGGGCATAGGAGAGAGCTAGGAGGTTGAGGGGGGAGGAGGGGGGGGGGGGGTTTAGAGGAGGGTAAGTGGTTGACCTCTTGAAGAGATTTTTCGGAACTTGAATGATTCAACCAATCTTATCACTCCTGCTTCTCCTCCTTTCCTCCCTCTTTCTTCTCGCATTTCTTACGGAACTCCTTTAGAGTTTTGCCAAGACGCTCTGCAAACAGGTCGACCTCCTCCTTTTGGATGCCAATCGCGCACGCGAAGGAGAGGTAAGCGCAAGGATAGTTGCTCATGTGCGCGCCGTACCCTTGAAACGCTATCCCCCCGACTCGTTCTTCTTTCACGCACGTCACCACCCGTGTACCTGAGCATGACCTCGCAAATAGCATGCTGCCAAGCTGACTCACGCCTGGTTTCCCCACCATGGCGACATAGGAGTCAAGCGTCATGGCGAGCGAAATTCCGTTGCCAGAAGTGTTCAACATCCTCTCACCATGCTGCTGCGCAACTTCTCCGACCTTCGAGAACATGTACGCGAGCATCTCCTCCCTTTCCTCCAAGAGCTTCTGGTATCCCCTGCGTCCCATGGACAAGAGCGTGATGAAGAGGTCTTGGACGGCAGAGCAAGAAGCTCTCCCGGGATAGAGAGAGGCAACTGCCTTCACGAGGTCGTCGTTTCTGTTCACCGTCGCGAGGATAGCTCCTCCCACCGGTACCATGAAGTTTTTGTCTGTGCTCTGCACTATTCCATCGATTCGTCCTCGCTGACATGCTGACGCGATGCTCTTCATGTTGACTCGACTCTGACATCCGTACGCGTTGTTGACAAGCAGAGGCACCTCATGCTTCTTGCACAGCTCGGCGATGGCAACAATCCTCTCTGGACGACGCGGAGCAAAGCAAGAGGTCGTGGCAATCACAGTCAGGATGTTGTCGGGTCCATGCTCGATGATGGCCTGCTCGATGGCATTCATGTCAGCCACCACTTCGTCGCCTTCCAGCATGTTCTCGATGATGATGGGGGTCAGGCCCATGGCTAGGAGAGACTTGAGGCAAGTCTTCTGATCCACCCGCGGCCAGATCACTTTCTTCGCTCCAGGACGGGCTGAAGAGATTCCCATGAGAGACAAGGTAATGGCCATACCGGTTGCAACAGGCAGGACGGCGCAGGAGCTCACGTTGTGCATGCCCGCTATCTTTAGAGCATCCATGACCATGAGATTGGCGAGCTTGCCCAGCAGAGAGGAACCTGCCGCCTTCGGTTGTTCGGCAGTGAGGTCGCCGCTCCTCCCCACCCCGTGGCTCATGCCGTAGTATCTTTCCGACACGAGTCGGTTAAAGATTCGGCCTTCACGCTCTCCCACGCCGATGTTGTCTACGAAGTTATTGGAGTCCATGGCTGAGAGGTTCTGCAGGAAGAACACGATCTGCTGATCATCCCACCCGTCCTCTGGCATTCTTCGCTGTGAAAGCAGGGACTTCACCAGGTTGTCCCTCTTGTTTCTAGCCTCAAGGGCCTGCTTGATGTATCGCGAAGAGATCAACCCTTCAGCCAGCTCAAAGTTGGTCGGGTTCATCTTGTTCACTAGTAGATGCTGTCCCCAGCTTCAACTCACTGTCCAACCTTCGCTGCTTCCTGCTCTTTGCTGTATTAAACGTTTACTGGTTCACTTTGATCTTATCCTCTCAGGTGTCTTCACTCTGGAATCCTGCTCCTGCTCCTGCTCCTGCTCCTGCTCCTGCTCCTGCTCCTGCTCCTGCTCCTGCTCCTGCTCCTGCTCCTGCTCCTGCTGTCAGGTATCTTTCTTTCCGTGCATCATCATGCGCCTCTCACCCCCACTTCTTTTACTTATCAAAGTTCAGTAACCTGCCTCGACTTCTCCCGGTCTGCCGGCCCGCCGAGCCCGGCCCGCCGCGGATCTAAGAATTGCCTAAAACTTCAGGTACTGTGCAATCACGGGAGGCCTGGGATCTTACCGGTACTTTGTAGTTCCCGTTCGGGGGTACACTGGATGGGAAGATGATCGTTTCAGGTAGGGTGGTGCAAGGTTGTGCGAGGGGGTAGTTTTGCAGGAGGGGGTGGGGTGCGAGGCGCTGTCGAAGAGACATCTGAATCATGGTGAGTGCAGCAGAAAGCAAACGATGCGACACAGCAAGAATCTCTGCGCCATGACACGGCTTGAGCGATAGCAAAACTATGCATGTATCACATGAAGTGCATGTGACGTGTCTTTTTACTATGATGTGTGTTTCTCATGTGATAAACTGTGTGCATAACTTATTGAGCATGTCGTGTGTTTTGATTGGAACGGTCGATACTAAAAAAAGACTCCCAGAGGTCGATGATGATGATTGTCAGATGCTTGCCTGTGCAGGTATAAAGGTGTTGATGATGTGGCAGCTTCAAATTGAATAGATACAATTAATTGATGATTTGTTTAACGCGAATGTATTCTATGTTTTAGAGTACACACAATAGCATAGTGTTGTGTAAAATGTTATCTTGAATAGAAGAGACCAACGATCAGGCATGACATTTGGTAAAATTATGACTTCCTATATGAACGACCCTGGACAAGAATACCGGGCAGGGAAATGAATTTTGTTCTATGTGAATGTGCTGATCGTGTCATACAAATTGAAAATTGAGGAATGTCTCCGTATTGAGACGGGCATTTATAAAAGCCCCAGTACGTCCTTTTCGTTCATGGATGATTTCATTCTATGATGATGAGGCATCATATAATTTTTTTATCACAATCCTGATCGTTTGTTTCTCAGCTGTTCGCCATCCCTGCAGAGTCCCCCATGCTCTATTATCTTCATCCCGATGTTTCCTTCTTCAAGGGCAACGGCTTCAAGGCGCTGGGACCATACCTCGACATGCCTGACAACTCAGCTGCAGGAGATGTGAGAGCGTTGCTACTCACTCCTCAGTTCGCTGATCGATAATGTGTCACTGCAGGTCTGGAACCCTCCTGACACCGAGTCCACCTCCGGAATCAGCTACGACAACTGCGAGGCCCCTGATTCTATGTAAGGGAGTCCAAAGGCATGATGCAGAACTCGTTGGATGAACATCCGAGAGCTTTCTGCGATCGCAATCCCCTCTAGATTCGCACCGTTGCATCGCTTGATTTTGACATATTGCTTTCGCTAAAAACATCTTTGCTTCAACTTCGGAACCCCGGAGAAATAATCTGAGTCTAGGTCCCTAGCCCGCCTTTTCCCCCTTCCTCTCTAGTTGGTCCGGACATGGTTGATTCTTCGATGTCTAACCATCGGTGGCGGAGTCACTGCTGTCCACGTTCCGAGGGGCCTGTGCGAATTGCTCACTGCCTCAAAGCGCGCCCGCCCCGGCTCCCTGCCCGGTGACCCGGCATCTCTCAGCGGCCGCCTACTCGGCGGCACCGCCCGGCCTCTTGCTCAGTACGGAGCGCCGGGCAACTTGCGGTGACGCCGGGTGCGGGACCGGGTGACCGTGACTGGAAATTCATTGCCAAGTTGTGACTTTCATCCGACATGATGATGGCATGGTATGATGGTTTTCCCTTATCATGATGATGGTCAAGTTTCTCTTATCATGATGATGGTTTCCGGAAGTTCTCTTATCATCGAGTCATGATGATCATCGGATGGTACGGTCAAGTTTCTCTTATCGTGATGATGGTTTTCTCTTATCATGATGATGGTCAAGTTTCTCTCAGTATCACACTTGTGATGCCACCGGTTTTCCGAAGTTCTCGTACCAGACTCTTTCAACGCTGGGCCGCCACTGGCATCTTGACCGTGCTGGAGGGAGTTGGAGGGGCCGCCCGGGTGACTAGCGGCGCCGACCAGCCTGAGGTGGGTAGTGATCGTAGGGGTAGATGTTAGTAATTCGGTGGGGTAGTGGGGTAGTGGGGTGGTGGTTGTACACAACAGAGCAGCAATGGGTAGTGGTTTAAAAAAATTTAAAAAAACAAAAAAGATGGCGAAAGAGGGGGAGGGGGGAATGGGGAGCAAGAGTGGTGAGCCAGTCAAAGGAAGAGACCAAAGCAAGATGAAAACATATCGAAGACATGTTGAAGACATGAGCTGTAGAAGATTTCAAACTTCTATTAGCTGTGTCTCGGGCATCAATTAGAAACTACGAAAAGGAAATGCATGTATCGGACGCAGTCAGTCAGTCAGTCAGTCAGTCAGTCAGTCAGTCAGGCAGGCAGGCAGGCAGGCAGGCAGGCAGGCAGGCAGGCAGGCAGGCAGGCAACGAGGATTGATGGAACAATGCACACAGCATGGATTTTCATATGTCACGGTAGGCCAGTTGGCATTCAATGGAAAATCGGAAGGTGGGGTTTACAGGAGCGATATTACTTAGAGCAACCCTACAAGCTGACAGGAAGGGAGGGAGGAAAGAAATTGAAGAGCAGACGTTAGCTTCTCTGTATACATTCCTCACTACGTTCAACTTTTCATGAATGAATTTTTGTTTCAGATGGTTTCGGCTCATTACATGTTTCACACCATGTCTTTTGGAGCTCGCAACGAGAGGCGATAGGATGAAACAACATCCTGCTGGTAATGAAGGATATTTGACGGCAGCGGTATACTATCACTAGACCAGATTCAAGGTTGAGCGATCGCGTTGCATGAAGAGCTCGGACATGTCTGTCGGACGTTCGCAAGATTCTCTTCCGTCTCTTGACCCCAGCAAAGAAGGCGCCTTCACATGCAGCAAGCCCGACAAGAGCATGCACATCACGTCCATGCTCAATGGTGAGCCTGATTCTCCTTGAGATCCTTTGACAGAGAGGCTGTCAGGAGGCAACGACCAGCCCTGGGCCAGAACAGCTGTAACCCAGAGCATGAACATGGAGATGAATCAAGGGTGCCCCAACGGACTTATGAACTACTACTCCAACACATTCTTTGATCCGGTGACTGCAATCATAACGGTGTGGCTGCTGAGGTCTGACGGCTCTTAGCAGAGGACAAGCTCGTCTAACCTCTTCATGCGAGGTGGCGATGGATGTTGTTTGTGCTGCATGACTTACCTCCTCTGGTCCAGGCGACCCCAAGACCTCCCTGCCGTTTGACTACTACAAGAGCATAAACCCAATGACCATGTTCTCGTGAGTTCCTCCACCTCCTCTTCCCCTTCTTCTAAGTTCCTCCACCCCCTCTTCCCCTTCTTCTAAGTTCCTCCACCTCCTCTTCCCCTTCTTCTAAGTTCCTCCACCTCCTCCCCTTGTTCTACCGCCACTTTCAGCAACTGCGGAAGTGATGTTTGCTCACAGAAACCCGCTGGGCGCTGTTCGGTTACAAAATGAGGTCAGCTCTTACAAGTTGTCCGATCAGCTGAGAGACGTTGGTAATGAGCTGTGCTTGCCGTGTCGGTCCTGCCTTTGACCGACTTGTGATTTTTTTCCAGCTTCATCTTCGCTGCTCATGGCGACAAACTCGTCAGCATTTGATACTCGCCTGCTTGCAGGTGTTTACAGCTTTCGGTGAGCATGCAGTAGCGCTGATGGGAGGGGGCAGAAGGACGGACCTTCAAGAGTGAGTTGACCCGCGACGATGAGCTGCTTCAGCATCGGCACAACTTCCACCTCAGCAAGCCTGTTGACAGACTGCAGGCTCTCAAGGAAATGGCGCTCCGAGATTTGGCTGCCTCAAGGTGAAGCCCCTGACTATGTTTTGAATCTTCTTTTTTTCTCGTACACGCCTGTGCGACTGCTGCTATACTATACACGTCTGTGAGCTCGCCCTGATTGAGTTGTTCAGGGACTCCGGCAGCTCGTCTGCCTTCGCCGTGAGACGAGCGAATGTGTTGCTTTTCCTTGTTGACTTGCGTCAGCAGCGGGTCAAGACTTGCGAAGATGAAGACCAGAACAAGGGCGCGATGAAGCTCGAGGGTAAACACGCAGACCTGGCAGAGAAGTCAGACAACGGGAACGAGGCGGGCAGGAAGGAGTGCAAAGCTTGCACGTATGGGTCTCACTGTGCACACACGTGCGACAAAGGCAAGAAAGGCGCCCCAAAGACCGTGATTCCGAAGAAGAGAAATAAAGAAAAGTCCAGCAACGGACAGGATGCATGGCAGAAAAAGCAAGCTGCGATGGAAGAAAAACTTCGCAGAGAAGTAAGAGTGTTGGTTATCTGATACAATCACTAAGATATCTGCTTCAGCAATTGAAGCAGAGGCAGAAGGAGGAAAGAGAAAGACTGAAGAAGGTGAGTTTTGCCAGGGTTTCATCAGCAACCAAAGATTGTGCTCAGGAGAGAGAGAACCAGAGGAAAGAAGATCAGCTGCGCAAGAAAGCTGAGGAGGTTCCGACCTTGTGAGAGTTTCTCTGCGTTAAGGTCTTGACAGGCAAAGAAGAAAGAAGAGAGAGAGAAAGAGCGCGAGCGTACAGAGCAGAAGAAGCAGAAAGACGCGCAAGCAAAGCGACCGATCCTGGACGCTGAGGTACAAGAGCCTCTGATTCCTAGCCTGCTGATTTTCCTCCAGGTTCTTATCGAGGAGGGCGAGCTAGCCGGCCAACCCCACACGCTTATCAAGCCTCCGACAGGCTCGCGGCCGCGCGCATGCCAGCTCTTCGGCGAGGAGCAAGTCGGGACTGGCGGGGGCTGAGCTTCACGCTGACGTGAGGGAGCAGGTCGAGGATGTCCTTGCAGCCGTTAGCTTCATGAGCTTGTTCGGACGGCAGCTGATCGGGCTGAAGATCGACGCAGACTTCCTGTACGAGAGCTTGCAGGTCCCTCGAGAGCCGCGGGAGGTCAGCAAGTCACGCCCGTGCTGAGCAGGAGGGGACGGACTCGAAGCTGCATGAAGTCTTCATGCGCCTAACCAACGCGGCACTGGACGCTATGGATCAGGCACGGGGGAGCGAAGAAGTGAAGGAGGAGAGAGAGGGGAAACGTGGAGACGCGAGCGACATCCGCATGGTCAAGCACGTCTGCCTCTCCTCTAAGGAAGATGGCTCCGGCTCTTACCCGGTACGTGAAGAACTCGCGAGCTCGTCCACGCGCTTACTGGCGTCCCTTCACCCCCAGCTCTGGTCCTTGTTGAACAACATCACTTGGCCGGCGCTTCTCAGCGTCTTGCTCGTTAGTCTGTCCGACTCTCAAGAGGCCTCGGAGCCCTGGTACTCCGACTGCGCCAAGCTTCTGCTTGAGCAGGAGCCCAGCTTGCTTCCGCTCGATCTCAAGGTTTCCGCATGATGAGTCCTCATGTACATGACGTGTTCCCGCCCAGGTTAAGCTTCTTCGCTTCCTGTGCGACGAAGCCTGCTCGTCGCCGGGCATGCACAAGGTCCTCGAGTTCAACCTCGAGACGCAGCATCAGATCCGCAAGTCAAGGTGAGCTCCTTCTTCTCTCTCTCTCCTTCTTCTCCCTCTCCCTCCTTCCCGCCCCTGTCCCCCTCACACAGTCTTGCAGGATGGAGTCAGACACTCTTGACAAGAAGCGCAAGCTTGACCTGCAGTCAGCGCTGGAGAAGAAGAGCGCCAAGGCAACGGGAGGGAGCAGCGAGTCACAGGGAGACAAGCCCGAGGGTTCCAAGAAGGCTAAGGCGGCAGAGGCAGCTGGAGGAGGAGGAGGAGGGGATCCTGGAGCGACGGACCAGAAGGTGGCACAGTCTCGAGCTCGAGCAGGTTAGAGGGTGGAGGATTTGTTGGCTCCCTCAGACTGACGTGGGGATGCAGAGGAAGTTTGGTTGTCGCGGAGGAGCGGGAGCGAGCGACTGCCGAGCGAGACGGAGATAGAGAGCGAGATGAAGATGCTGGAGGACCGCAAGCGCAAGCGAGACGTGGAGTTTAACAGGGATATGGACCGAGTCAAAGTGCGAGGGGAGGTGCGACAGACTCCTTCTCTTTCCTCCGAATCCTTCATCTTCGTTCTCCCGTCCCCTTCTCCTTCCCTACTGTTAACCATCCTCCCCTCTTCCCCTCTTCTCTCCTATCCTCCCCCTCCCCGTCTTCGTTCTCACCTTCTCATTTGCTGCAGTGTCTGGGACAAGATCGCCTGCAGCGAGTGTACTGGCAGCTTGAAGGAGTTGCGGATGTTGTGCTGGTGCGGGAGGCCAAGGGAGGAGGGTGGACCTGCTACTCCTATGGGGAAGAGCTGGACGCGCTCATGGTGAGCTGCAGGCGCTGCTGAGATTGTGTGACGTCACCACCAGGGCTGGCTGAGCGTGCGGGGGATGCAAGAGAACAATCTGCTCAAGCGACTGAGAAGCCTCCTGAGCTATCAGAAGGTGAAGAGGAGAAGAGATGGTGGAGATAACGATGATGAAGTGAGGGGTCATGAGATGATGATGACAAGGGAGAAGACGATGATGGGGATGAAGGAGGAGGAGGAGGAGAAGATGATGATGATGGAGCTGATGTTGATGAGTCGCAGGACTTTGCTCAGATCTCAAAAGCCACTAAGGTGAAAGACGTGTCAGCCAGAGCTCCTTACAACCGCTTGTCAAAGTCTTCCGACTCCTCTCCTCCAATCATGAACGTGGTACTGCCCCTCCTCAGTTCCTCGTCCCTCTCACTCTGTCTCCTGCAGCTGCAGCAGCTGAGCACGAATGCAGCAGCGTTCGAGGTGAGGAGAGATGGAGAGAGGGGAGGGGCTGAGGAGGAGAGATGGAGGGAGGGACTGATTAGGGGGCAGGGGCCTGGCGATGAGGACGATGGAGTGAAGATGGCCAGAGAGAATCTGCTCAACCTGGAGGCCTGGTGCAGGTGGAGTTACGTGGCTGAGCCGAACCCGGAGGAGGAAGACAAGGAGGACGAGGAGGAGGACAACGAGCTGTCAGCGATGGCTAGCTCTGTCTCAAGCTGGCAGAAGAGGAGACAAGATTGGGCGAAGAAGCTGAAGCAAGCGAAGAGTCTCCGTGCCGTCGCTGATGTATGCTTTCTTTCTCATGAGCTGGCAAACACTCTAATCTTCCACAGGCGATGGTTGTGATGGAGAGCTTCCTTCATGACGTCTCCTCCTCCTCCTCCTCCTCCTCCTCCTCCTCGTCTCATCGCAGTGCGGATGCTGCTGAGCCAGCGGGAGGTCGAAGGCCTGAGGGCCTCGAGTTTGCTCGCGGGATCCTACAGGTGGGAGGGAGAGGAGAGGAAGGAAACAGGAAGAGGAAGCGAGAGGAGGAGGCAGAGGCGAGAGGAGGTAACGGGACAGCAGGGGACCATCGAGTACTCTTGCGATGACGAGGGCTCGGACGACTGCGATGACCAGGTGATGTCGCCCAGTCGGAGATGCTTCTGCTGGCGGGCGTGACTGGAGCATGGCAGGGGATCGCTCTGTGGTCCAAGGAGGAGGAGAGGAGCGCATGGCAGCTGCTCGCCTCCCGCACCAGTGCCGCGTCTGTTAACCTCGCCGTCCTCCTCCTTGGCGATCGTGTCGCCTCCCTGCTCCGCAACATCGTCAACCTCCGCCTGCGCTCGTCAAAGGGTCGGAAGCTCCGCGTGTGCGTATGGACGGAGGACATCAAGGCCTATGCATGGCATGCCTGCGTGGTACAAGCGTCCCCTCTCCTCCCCTCCCTTCCCCCCTCCCTCCCTCCCTCCCGCTGCTTGCTCGAGCGCTTCTTGTGCAGACCGTCTCAACCTGGAGCAGGTAATGGGCTACAAGGTTCCGTTCCCCATGGCCGCGAGCCCCTCCAAGGGAGACAGCAGAAGCAAGAACGGCGTGGTCAAGGTCATGCACCGCGTCCGCTGGAACGACGGGGAAGAGGTGAGGACAGGGAGGCTGGGAGAGATGCGCGATGCGATGATGAGGAAACAAGAGAGAGGAGGAAAAGAAAGAGAGTAGAAGGATAAGAGAGGAACAAGCGGCTGACGAGGGCGGCAGGACGAGTGGCTCTATCTTCCTGAGGAAGCGTTTCAAGTGTGGAAGGTCAGCGGATCAAAGTCGAGCTTAGGTCGCTGGTTGGAGCCTCAGGAGACGGAGCTTAACTTCCTCCTCGCGTCCGACCAGCTGGCAGTAGAGGAGGCAGCGAGCAAGAGGAGCCGCCTGGCCCCTTCCAAGAAAGATTAGGAGAGCAAACTTGTAATATACCCCAGCTGAACTTGAGCTGAGCCCTCTAAACGCTAGGGTACCGCTCCTTAGCTGCCGCCCAGCTGACATCGGGAGACTCTCGAGCCTCACACAGCGAGCGGACAAGCTGTGGAACCTCCTCCTTGGGCACCCTGACCTGCTCCATGCTGTCGCGCTCCCGTAGCTGAAGTTGCTCATGGTGAGTGAAGGAGGCTGGAGAAGAGGGGAGAGGAGTGGGGCATGAAGCGAGCATCTCACCGTGACAGTTCCATCCTGACAAGACTGAAAGTCGACCTGCTCCATGTCACATGTTGACCCTCCTCCTCCTCCTCCACTCCCTCCCCCTCCTCCTCCTATCACCGTCACTGCAAAAGGAACTCCAATCTCGTCCATGCGAGCGTATCGCTTGCCGATATTCGCAGCAGAGTCATCAAGACGGCAATTGACGCCCTGCAAAAGTGAACGAGGTAAAAGCAAGTAGGAGAAGGCAGGAAGGAAGGAAGGCAAGAAGGAAGGTAGGAAGGAAGGCAAGAAGGAAGGTAGGAAGGAAGGGTATGACCATTTTCCTCATCTCCTCGTGTATCTCGTACACTATTGGCATGAGCTGATCGTTGGAAGAGAGCCCCAGCATGCAACACTGGAAGGGAGCGATGGAGACAGGAAGACCCAGCACCGTTCTCTGCGAGGATGTTCAAGGGAAGGAGCAGGAGCTGACAGGCAGGAGCAGCAGCAGGAGCAGCAGCAGAAGGAGATGAAGCAGAAGGACCTCATGATCGTTGCCTCGCACGTAGAACGCATGCTCAAGGGAGCCTGAAGGGAAAGGGAACGACGATCAGTACACCTGGATATAAAGAATGGGAGGAGCGCAAAGAGGAGGAGAGCAAGGATAGGACGAGACTGCTTAGCAGATGGCGAGAAAGAGGAAACGGAAAAGAAGTGGAGTAGAGAAGAAGTGGAGAGGAGGAGAAGAGGAAGAGAGGAGGAGAGAAGAAGGGGCGCAGATAAGAAAAGCAGAGGAAGGAGCAGGGGGCAGGGAGCAGGAAGCAGGGGAGGAGGGAGGTGAGAGGAGAAAGGAGGTTTGCTGGTATACAGTAGAACAAACGGTCAAGTCCAAAGGAAGGCTCGACGACCCGGGGATAATAGAAGGCTCCATGCTCGCTGCCTGCCTCGTCAGGGACAAGCAACAAGGGCTGAAGGGAAGTGATGAGGAGGAAGACGGGGGGGGGGAAAGGAGAGGAGGGATGAAAGAAGAGGGGATGAGCTGGTAAACCGAACGATCGTCTCTTTGAAGGAAACGCATGCAGCTGGGATTTCGAGCTCCTCCTCTTCTACTCGCAACTTGAGCGCTTCTGGTGCTCCTTCCTCCTTCCCCTTCTGAAAGGCAAGCGCCTCTTCCCCCTCCTTCTCTGCAAACTTTTCAAGCGCCTCGACCACGAGCTTGCTGCGAGCTCGAAACGCCTTGCCAATCAAAGCCCTAGACCGCAGTCAGACACTCGCTCTCCTTTTGTTTTCCTCATCCTCCTTTCCCCTATTCTTTCACTCTATCATTGTCGCCCCTTCAACATCCCTCCACATCCAACACCTCCTCATCCTCCTCCACCACAACTACCATGACCATGACCACCACCACCTCCTCCTCCTCCTCCTCCTCCTCCTCCTCCTCCTCCTCCGTCTCCTCCTCCAGCGGTTGCAGCACCGGTCAATCGTGGCCTGCACGACTCGTCTCTCGCGCGGTTCCTGGTGCTGCTCCCACGCCACGAGCGGCACGTCCGTCGCCTCCGAGTGCATCTGGAGGTCGAAACACGCTCGATCTGCATGCCCCACTACCTCCACCCAGCCGTAGGAGCAGAGAACCTCCGCGTCCCAGCAGTCTTGCGCGTAATGCGCCATCTCTGTTGCCCGGTGCTGCCTGTAATGAGGTGAATGTAGAGGTTTGAGTCGTCAAGTTTGACAAGCAAGAAAACAAAGAGATTGCAGGTGTCATGTTTGACACGCAATAGATCAGGTCCACAACCGTTGCAAGTCAAGAGTCAAACAAGCGAGAAAGTACTGACGGTCACGGAATGAACGCAAGGGGTCGGGAGGGGAGTTGAGAAGAATGGAGGAGAATGGGAGGAAGTGACAGGAAGGGAGGGGCAGGAGCCAAGGGACGGGAGGAGGGGAGAGAAGATTTCAACAGATCAGATGAAATGAAGCGAAAGGGAGAAGAAAGAAAAGCACAAGCAACGGAAACACGACCAACAGAGAACGCCCTGTCGCTCATACCGGAATCGAATGGCCTTGATTCCACATTGCCGGAGAAACTTTTGCGTCTTACCAAGGAAGTAGGCCAGAGCCTGCAAGAGCCATGAGGAGGAAGAGGAAGAGGAAGAGGAAGAGGAAGAGGAAGAGGAAGAGGAGGAGAATGCCTGGTTGACGATGATTCCATCCTCCACTGCTTGCCCGAGTGTAGTCCAACTCTCAGCTTCTCCTCTCTCCTGCGCCGTCCTAGAGAAAAGACAGACCTCCACGTCTGCCATCTGCTTTACCCGTCAGCTTCCATCTATGTGCTCCGCCTCCCTCACCTTGCAGAACTCGACATGTCCGGTTTCTCCGTTGGCAAGGAAATGCTCGATCTCAGCCATTTCAAACTCACGTTGTCTTAGCAGCCCTGGATCACGAAATCAAGAGACGAAGGTAGCTCTCTTCTCGAGACCTTGCTTCGGCGCAATCTCGTTTCTAAATGATTTTCCGATCTGAGCAATAGTCATCGGTAGCTTTCCGCCGTTGAACTCAAGAAGTCTCTTGAAGTTGGTGAAGATTCCCTGTAGAGAAGAATGAATTAGTAATCAAAACAAGATTTCCAACGCTCAAGGTAGCGCGTGTCGTGACGAACTATCATTGCAACACCATACGTGTCCAAAACATCATGTCACATAGAAACAAGTTCCGTGCTCACTGATCGTTGACATTACGAAGTCATTTCAACTTATCGGACAACCTGTGCGGTTTCCGGTCGAAGGAAGACAGACGACCCAGACGAGGGTCCGATGGTGCTCTTGAACATGAGATTGAAAGGCAACGGCTGGAATGTGTCAAGAAGAGAGGCAAGTTGCAAGGACATTCACCTTTGAGAGCTTTGCTCCAGTGCTGAGTGATGTGATGTTGAAAGTTGATATCGCATCCTCAACTTGCTCTATCGTCATACTGCCTGCTCTTGCTTTCAAACTCATCATCATTTCACTGCCAACCAAGACACGTTAACTTCGATGTTTCAACACAACCTGGCATCTACCGTCTGGTTTCATTCGAATGCTTTGCATCTTTCATCAGGTCCACATCGCAGAACTCTTCGATCAGCTTGTCCGCTCGGAAACCTGCAACCCGTTCACATGGGGTCGCATGCGAACAGCCTCTCACATTCTCCGCTCGTCTCGTCTCTAACCATCAGGTCTGTGAATCTCTTGACATGCCCTGACGCCTCCAGCACTCGATGAGGGGTGATTGACGGACACGCGACCTCGAGCATCCCATCGCTCACCACCTTCGCGTCATCGACAGTCACGGACTTGTCTGACAGAGAGGTAGAGCTCACAAAGAACTTTCTCCATGCGTCGACGATGTTGTTCTTGATGGAGCAACCTATCGGTCCGTAATCGAAGAGCCCAGAAACTCCTGCCATGTACATCAGAAGGCGCATGCGCCGTCAGGTGCTCCCACCTCCATGGATGAGAAATGACTGCATGAACACGAACCTTCGCTTCATCACTGTATCGAAGCTCTCTCTCATCTCATTGTTCAGCACTTGATACCCGCCAAACTCATTGCAATCGTTGCTGTCCCCTCCTCGCAGCCTCAAAGTTTGCTCTAGGGTGATGCGACCAGTATGCTTCAACACTGCAGGAAGGAGATGAAGGGAGGAGGAGGAGGAGACAAATCTCAGTCCACTAGATGCTGAGGTCACGAAGGGAGCAGGAGGAGCGGAGCAGGACAGCAGCAGCAGCAGCAGCATGCTGCCTGGCGCCTTCCCCTCCCTCCCTTGCGACGACATGCGGCCACAAACTTTCAACAGGTTTACTAATACTGCACCTAGCTCAATGTTTCTGTCATAAAAAATAACTAAACAATTTAGCTCAACCTGCACAAGCCGTTGGAACATGGCATTGACCCGGGTCAAGGGGAGCGCGAGGAGGAGGGAGAGGCCGAGTCTGCGTCCGGGCGATGGTGGAGGGAGAGGGGAGGATGCGATGAGTAGTCTGGAAGCAGCGAGAGAGCCCACAGACTTGCTGTCTGACGGGTACGAGAGTGAAGACTCCAACAGCGAACGAGTCATCGCCCTCCTCAAAAGCGGAATACGCGCAAGGCAGTCGGACAACCTGTGTGGAGCTCGATCGCACTTTGCTCGGGCAGCAAGGATACAGCAAAGCAGGGGAAGGCAGAGGAGCAAACTTGATCTGTGGTTGAGGTCGTTGGCAGATTCCTGGGGAAAGGCGAGAGTGCGAAAAGCAGCATTGGATGTACAAAGGACGTATAGAGGCATGCTCGGAAGAGAAGAGTGCCGATGGATAAGGCATGATCGGATGAAGCAACAGAGAGCGAAGACGGACAAGCGACAAAGAGCGCTATCCATACAGGTAGAGGCAGCAAAGGTTGCACAGAGACACGTTCGTCGCTTCTTGGCGATGATCAGTTTTGATGCGGCGACGCAGCACAAGGTGAAGGATTGTGCGGCCTCTTGCATGCAGGGATACCTCCGACGTCGCTTGCAGAAGGAATGGAGTAGCATGCGACAAGATCTGCCTCGCTGGCTGCGGACGTTTGTTGAAGTGAGGAGGTACAGAAAGCTGAGAGCAGCCAGCACCGAGCTTCAGAGTCGAATACGCAGGAGAGGGTGCGCTTCTATCCAACAAATCTGTTCCTCCCATTCGATCATCTCACGTTATATGATGATGCTCAAGCAGCGCTCGGAGTTCAACGCAATGCAGATCTTGGGACCTTATCTGGTGTCGCGGAACGCAAGGAAACATTGGTGTAGACTGCTGCAGTCTCATGAAACCATCGCTGCTCGCCTTGTAAGAATTTGTGTTCAGATGCAAAAGGAGAGGAGATTAGAGGCGCTGGCATGTTTGTGTTCGTGTTTTCAAAGAAGTTGGTCTGTTCGCGAATATTCTAAGCTCATCGAACAATCCGACATGACAGTACGTCACAACAGCTATGAAAGAATCGCACAGACTGTCGTAATGTATCGTGACCGAAGAGAGTTCTTGACATTCAGGGCTAGCACAATTTTGTTGCAAGCTCGTTTGCGACGCTCTCTCGAATATGCCTTGGTCTGCTTTCATCTTGTTTCGATGAAGACCTTGCAAGGAGAACACAAAGAGATGCCACGAGACGTTTCACACGATGAGTGCCCAGCAATTCAGAACGAGCATGAAGATCAGATTGAGGAGCTTGAATCTGAGAACAGTCTGCCGTATCAGACGCAGCAACTCAAATCAGTCTTCGTGTTCTCCTTCACTGCCCAGGAGTTGAAAGACGACGACCTTGTTCTACTTACTCGAGAGCGAGAGCGAATCAGCAGGAGAATGGCAAGATCGCAAGGCGATGTCGAGCTCTTGTTTCCTCATGAGCTGGCCTGTGGAAGCCCCATAGCTTCTCGCCTCGCTTTGAGGCATCTGATGACGAGCAAGAAGTGAATCGGCTTTCAAAAGATGATTTGGCGACAAGGTGACTTGGGAGTGAGATCGTAAAGATTTCTTTACAGCAAGCTACATGTATAATCACTAAAAGACTTAACTCCCGTTGTCAGATCCGCCCTACACTCGCTCAGAACAGTCCTCACTCGTGGGGCACAGCGAATGTGGAGCAAGGGTCAGTAACAAACAGAAGTGACGACAAGTGTGAGACAGAGGAAGAACTCTTAGGGCTTTAGGGCTGGATGAAGAAACCTTTTTAGGTCCTCGAGTTGTGAATATGATTCGATAATAGATGAGGTTCGGCGCCGATGGTGACCCATCTCAAAGGACGGCTAGCGATATTTCATGCCCAGACAAAAGTCGACCGTGAGAGATCCTTGAGAGCGGTGAAGCGCTTGTACTGGAGGAGCGGAAGGATTCCAACAAGATTGAGATTAGAGCGTGACCAGCATCTACAAAAAGAGGTAGCTGATGATTTATTGTGACATTCTTCTGCACATCTACTCAAAAGATGTATTTCTTTTTGTCAACACTTTGGAACTGGATCTCCTCAACCTTCACACCCTCTGAGAAGTCTCCAACCCGAGACAAGGAGACTTTCAGGTCTTCCCGCGCCATCCACTGGTGGACATTCTTGTCCTCCGCGTCGCTCTGGCTCGACGTCACTGACTGCATGTCGTTAAGCTGATCTCCTGCACGTGCAATAAGATTTCCCACGAGGTCGAACAACGCTGAGAAGTCCAAGCCGCTTTCCTCGAGAGTCGACGACCACTGCTGTGCCTCATTTCCCCCATCCTCCTGCCGCGCCGGAGTGTCTCCCTGGCTCAGTTTCTCCTTCCTTGCTTCATGCTGCTGCTTGTGCCGAAGACGCTGCTGCCGATGAGCTTCTTTCATGCGCTGAGACTTGGCGAGCTGCTCTTTGCGTAGCCACTCGTTGACTTTGTCCACAGAGAAGCTGTGTCCCCCGGGTCGCATGTCTCTGAGAGAGGAAGCTGAAGAGCTGGCGGGGTATGCGTGAAGAGGAGAAGGATGAGGGAGTCAGGCTCAGCAAGTGTAGCAGGAGCGGCAGTGAGCAAGCAACCGTGCAGTGGTAAGCAAGGAGTCGGCGTGAGGCTTCAATATATGAAGAGGCCTGGGGGGGACCAGGGGGGGTGGGTATCGGCCAGGTCCTCATGGTCCCCTAACGAGGGGGTCGTGATCTAGCCTGCCCATGACTCCTCCGGCCCCTACCGTTCACACGCCGAGGAGTCAAGTGCCCCCCACGGTCACATGTACCAGCACTGGCTGGGGCAAGGACCGGTAGTACCAGCCGCACTGCTAGGACATGAGTCACGTCAGTTAAGGACCGTGAGGTATGGGGGCCGGGCAGTTACCGTTATTTGAGTAATAACGAGGCAGGGCAGTTACGGTTATCACGGTACAGTATTTGATAAGTAAACTCATGTGGTACTAGAACCGGTAGCGACGATACCGAAAATAGACCAATTGAGGCAACTTATAAAACTCTGTCACCTTTAAAAAGTATCCGATAAGTTTGCCAATATAAAGATTCCCACGGTAGTGAGACTAGTTGAGTAAAAAGCCTTGACTCAGTGCCGTCTCATTCATAACTATCATGCCGTCTCATTCCTTCGCCCCGGCATGGCTACAGGGACATCGCTGGCAACGCCGCACTGCCGCATGTGGCGGGGGCATGGTCCTGCGCGCAGTTAAGTGAAGGTACGGTATCAGTTAAGTTTGAGGGACAGTAGTAGGCAGGCCCGGTCATGACTCACCGGGTTTTGGTTCTCGCTGTCAGGCTTTTCTCTTCTCGCCGTCAGTGGCCTGTCGATCATGCGCGACCGTCGCACAGCGGCAGTGTCAGGACCGTACGGTCAAGCTTCCTCGCCACCTTACGGCCCTACATATTCAGTGAATTCAAATTCAAATCCCGCCCGGCGTACTACGGTACTGCCTAGTACGGCCCCCGGGCGCGGCCGCCCTCGGACTCAGTCCGGCGAGGCCCGGCGGCCACACTGTGACACGGTCCGCTGCCGCTGCCGCACTGAGTGCGGCAGCCGCTGAGCACCGTAGTACGGTACAGAGTTTACTCAAAGTTAAGTTAAAACGGTACACCGTGCACCGTATCCTCGATAACTGCTCATATTGGGTGTACCCCTGTTTTGTAGTCACCACAGAGGGGTACTAGTAGAAGAGTTGATCCATTCAAGTTGACCTGAAGGCTTGTCAAAAGGCCAGGGCCTCTCTACTGATGACCACCGGTCCTATCTATCTATATCCACTTCCACCCATTACTTAAGGACGAACTATGTATCATACACAGGGGTAGGGTGCTCTATAAAGGTTAATTAGAGGGGGTACACGGACGGTCCTGCTTGCATGGTAGGCGAAACAGAGACAGAGCGACGTTGGAGGAGACAGTAGGAGAGGAGGAGGAGGAGGGAAGAGGAGTAAGAGAACGCGGAGAAGCAAGCAGAAGAAAGAAGCTGGAGAGTGCCAAAAGAAAGTCAAAACAAGTTGATAGATTCATCCCACAGGAATATCGAGATGGAGTTGAATCTGAGTTCTCTCGAGGACTCCAAGGTATGGGGAGCGATCCACAAGCTACTAAAGATCGAGTCTCCACGCATGTACAAGAGTAATGAAAGCAGTCAGAGCTCGGGGCAGAGCTCCGTCAGAATGGAGGATGGGAGGCAGCCAACGGTCGTGCTAGCAACAGCCCATGATGGAGGGAGGGAGGATCGCGTGCATGATCAGCTGAATCAGACGCTGCTGGCGAACGAGCGCCTACTTGCCTGGAAAGATCAGGCGATGCAGCAGATGCACTACATGCAGACCGAGTTGGGGCGAGTGAAAGAGCTGCAGGATGAGATCTCGCGACAGCGATCAGACATCCGAGTGCTGAATGAGAGGCTGAGAATGGAGACAATGCAGTCAGCTGACTTCAAGCGCAAGATCGATGAATCCTTCAAACTCATCACGGAGATGAAAGAAGCTCACTCCAAGGACGTGAACGAGCTCAACACCACTCGAGCTCAGCTGGTGAGCGCGAAACATCAGTACGAGGAGCTTCAATCAGCTCTAGAGCAGGCCAATGAGGCCATCAAGCTGTACGAGAGCACCAAAGACATGATGCTGAGCTTTCAAAAGACGAAGAGGAATGAGTTTGAGACGAAAGTGAAGGAGCTAGAAGACAAGAACAACAAGTTGGAAGCACTGTTGCATGAGACGAAAACAGCAGCTCTCTGCAATGTTCGTGCGAGCCTCCAGATAGTCTCAGAAGAGGAGGAGGAGGAAACGACAGCAGAGATGGAGGAGAGATGTGTTCAAACAGAGATCGAAGGAGACAGCTTGGACAGATATCACAAGATAGCACTCGAGCAGTTGAAGTCAAATCATGAGTACGAGATGAGAAATCTGAAGAAAATCAGCGACGAGTCCCTGGAACATCTTAGATCGCAGGTGGAAGGACTTGAGAGGAGGGTGGCAGATGGAAAAGAGAGGGAGAAATCTCTCAATACTCATGTCGACAAGCTCAATGCTTTACTCGATGCTGCCAATGTCGACAACTTCCAGTTGAAGATGGAGGGGAAACGGCTAGCTCAGAACATCGAGCTTATGTCCAAGGAGCTAGAAGACTCTCTTGCCATCTCCCGGGAAGCAGAGAAGGTGGAGGGAGGGCTGCTGCGTGCTCGAAGCGTGTTGTTGAGGAGATGGGAGGAGGCGAGGGAGCAGGTGGAGGTAGCGAGAAGTTTCAGTGGGTGGAGGAGGCGGGAAGAACGAGTCAAGTGGGTGAGGAGATGTATAGACCTTTCTTGCTCCATCTCTTCGTCCAGGCTTCAGTTCCGCTTGTTCAAGTGCGCCGTCGTCGCGCACCGAGAGCAGGTTGACGGCAACCGGCGCGTTGCCAACAGCATGAGGATAAAGAAGAGAAGGGAACTCGGACGTAGCTGCTTGCAGACTTGGAAGGAGGAGGTGAAGAGCAGCTCACTGACGTCATTGACTGTCCGAAAGATCCTCCAGTCATTCCTCGTCACCTCTCCAAGGGAGTCCTTCCTGCAGTGGGCAAGGCTGGTGCTGTGGAGGAGACGAGCAACTCGACAAGCTGAGATCATGGTGGAGCATCGGATGAAGCGAGAGCTGGAGAGAGCGTTGGACGGGTTCAGAGCAAGGACGCAGCGAAGAGAGCGAAAGGCGATGATGGAACGTAAAGTGACGGGCATGAGACAAGCAGCTTCGAGGAAGCTTGTCAAGTTTTGTTTTCTCTCGCTGTCTGACCGCGCAAGGTTCGTCAAGGACATCTGGTCGACGGTTATGGGCAGGACGGAGACAAGCAGCAAGCACCAGCTGCACCTTATCTTGACTGCCTGGCTGTCTCTCTGTGCTCCCAAGGTCTCAGGTGCGGAGGGTGAAGGAGGTGGGAGGCAGAGGAGGCTTAACTTCAGTCTATCATTGCAGGAAGCAATGAGATTCAGCTGCCTCTACATGCTGACAACATCCAGCGACGGCGCGCGATTGCCCTGAAGCAGCGACGCTTCTCTCAGTGGGTCTGCTTGTCAGACCTCGCCAGTAGAAAGAAGGAGCGATGGAACATGTCTCGAAGACACAGAGATCGCACGCTCACAAGGAGCAGCTTCAACCTGTACCAAGACAAGTCAAGGAGAGGAAAAAAGTTCCGCAGGAGCCTCGTTCGCATCCTCGAACTTGCAGATCAAGTCAGTTGACGTGCTGAACTAGTCAAAGCTGACGCCTCTACTCCCACAGGACTGCAAGAAACTTTCCGTCTCCTCCTGGAAGAAGTTTATCGACATGTCACATGACTGCCAGGCCCGCGCAGCCTCGCTGAGCTCCTTGTGCTCCAAGAGGCTGCTGACCCGTTGCTTCTCCTCCTGGTCCTTCGCCTCCTTCGATCGCAAGCTCGAGGCTCGTCGCTCCTCCCTCCGATCGGCCACGAGCCTCTGGGCCAGCCATGTCATGCGCGTCAAGTTCGCCAGCTGCAGGTCAGCTGGGGATCAGATGTGGGAGGCTCCTGCTGTCCTCAAGCTCCTCGCAGGAACGTCGAGGAAGGGTACAGGCTGCACGTGAGCGCCTTACATGCGAAGAAGAACGACCAGCCGTCGGCAGGCTTGACCTCACTCCCCATGTGTGACAGATGCTTCACCTCGCAGGTCATGGCAGTGAGATGTTACGATGACGACGACGATGATTATGCTGTAGTCATTGCGTCCGCTGCTTCTGCTGCTGCTGCCCTTGTTGTTGCTGCTGCAGCTGCTGCCCTTGTTGTTGTTGCTGCTGCCCTTGTTGTTGTTGCTGCTGCTGCTGCTGCGGCTGCTGCTGCAGCTGCTGCCCTTGTTGTTGTTGTTGCTGTTGTTGCTGCTGCTGCTGCTGCTGCTGCTGCTGCTGCTGCTGCTGCTGCTGCTGCTGCTGCTGCTGCTGCTGCTGCTGCTGCTGCTGCTGCTGCTGCTCTTGCTGATCGTTACTTCAGGATTTGACTCATCGTGTCACCTTGAAATCGATTCACTTCTTTGTCCTCCACAATATACTGCACAGAGATGTTGTAACATTGCAGATCACTCTCCGAAAGTATGATCACTCTCAACTTCTTCTCTTTCTCACCTCTTTCTCAGGTGGTCTTCTTGGCTGTCAGAACGAAGAATCTTTGCTGTCTCCATGCTCCTGCTCAACAAGACTCGCTCCTCTTCCCCATCAGTCACTTCTCAGCCTGCTAGTGCCCAACCTTCCTTCGAGCCAGGTGAAAAGTTTATTTCACTCCTCCATCCCTCTTCTAGCATTGCCTGCTGCTGCTGCTGCTGCTGCTGCTGCTGCTCCTCGTCCTCCTCCTCGTCCTCCTCGTCCTCCTCCTCCTCTTATGACATTTTGAGCAGAAAGCTTTCCTCGTCCCCGCTCGACTCCTCCAATTCTTAAGCCCTTCAAGGTCCTCATGCTTACAACGCCGCTGCTACCTCTGCACATCTCTACCAACCTTCCTCCATCCCCTTGCTCCACCCCTTCCTCCTCTCCTCCTCTCCTCCTCTCCTCTTTCTCTTCCTCTTCCCTTCTCTTCCTCCCCCAGAGTCTCTTCATCCCCTTGACCTCTCCCTCCCTCCCCTTCCCCTCATCAATTTCGTCCCTGGCAGGCTCCAGCTGATCAGAGCTCCAAGAACGTCTCCTTCAGGTCACCCCTAGCTCAACTTCCAGCTGTTTGACATTCTCAGCAGCTCCGCCAAGTTTGACGTGGAGCAGATCCTGAGTACTAGGAACCTCGACAACAAGTTTCACTTGCTGTGAGAGAGAAAGAGCGAGGAAAAGAAGTTGAGAAGATGAGTAGGTCGAATAGAACGTGAAGTAGTAGTAGTAGTAGGAGGAGGATTAGGATTAGGAGTAGGAGTAGGAGGAGGAGGAGGAGGAGGAGGAGCATGAGGAGGAGGGGGAGGAAAAAACCATTTGATAATGATAAGGATTTAACATTGAAACTCTACATATCTGACGGATAGACAAAGTGTCTAGAGCACGTCAGAAGGAATAAAGACAGGATGGAGCCAGAGGTATGCATTGAGCCGGTAGAATGATGAAGATTGAGCGAAATTACCCTGACCTCCTCCTCCTCCTCCTGTTTCTCCTCCTCCTGTTTCTCCTCCTCCTGTTTCTCCTCCTCCTCCTCCTCCTCCTCCTCCTGTTTCTCCTCCTCCTCCTCCTCCTCCTCCTTCCTCCACTTCCTCCTGTTTCTCCACCATCACCACCACCACTTCCTCCTCCATCACCTTCGCTTCCTCACCGGCCTCATCAGCAGCTCAGGGTTCTCGACCTTGTTCAGCGTCATCGGCAGCAGGAGAATCAAGGGACAGACCGTGAGAGCAGAGGCCAGGAAGAGAAACTCTTCCTCCTCCAACGTGTGCTCTGCCGTCTTGCTCAGCAGCTGCAGAACCTGTTGCATCCTTCACTACCGCATCTGGAGAGAGAAGGAGCAGGTAGAGCAAGAGGAGTAGAGGAGCGGATGGGGGGGAGAGACCGGAGCTGGGGGAGGAGAAATGCGGAGGAGAGAGGAAGGAGAGGGGGTAGTCTCTTACCCCCTCCAGCTCCTCCCTGCCCACCATCATACCCAGCTGCTGCAGAGCTTGTTCGACGTCACTGAAGCTGAGAAACCCTCTGCGATGACGGTCGAAGTGGTGGAAGGTGGAGGAGAGGAGACGAGTGTCTTGGCTGGTGGACGGTGAGGAGGAGAGGGAGGAGGAGACAGGATGAGAAACAATCTGATCGAGAGTTTAGATCCGCTCTTGATCGAGGGGAGAAAGACTGAAGGTAGAGGAGGAATAGAGAGAGGAGAGGGAAAGGCAGGATAGGATGAGAGCAAGAGGCAGGAGGAGAGGAGGGGAGGGAGGGGAGGGGAGGGGAGGAGGAGACGAAAGGGGAGAGGGAGAGGGAGAGGGAGAGGGGGAGGGGGAGGAGGGAGAGGGAGAGAGGGAGAGGGAGAGGGAAGGGAGGAGGAGAAACGTTACCTGCAAGTCCAGCTGGATGCCAGCCGAGCCCGCGGCGTTGGTGGCATTGATGGAGAAGGTGGTGGAGGGAAGAGAAGTTTGCGGGACCTGTGCGGGGAAGATCAGTCAGAGAGTTGCAACAGAGCTGGAAGCAAGTTGAAGAGAAAGATGAACGATGATGATGATGATGATGATGACGTTGCTGGTGGTGGTGGTGGTGGTGATGATGATAATAAGCAATGGTAGTTTCAAGTCAAGCAAACATAGAAGACTGGGAGAAATGTTCAAGAAGGAGGTTGGAAGGAAGTGTGTAGAAGAACCGTGGAAGAGAAGGAGAAGGAGACGGAGATGGAGATGGAGGTGGTAGAGG